GGAAGATGCTGCTCAGCAGCACAGCGCCTGCCCGGCAAGCGCAAGGTCGTGACTTCGATCCCCAGTACCGGAAAAAGAAAACAACAACAAAAAAAAGAAATTGAAGATGCAACTGAAACCCTATCAACAGGGCTGTGGATATAGCTCAGTGGCACAGTGCCTGCCTGGCAGGCATGAGGCCCTGAGTTTGATTCCAGGTTCCAAAAAAAAATTTAAAAATTTAAAAAAAGAAACCCTATCAACAAAGAAAAGCCCGGGTCCTGACAGATTCACTGCTGAATTGTTCAAGAAATTTACAGGAGACTTAATGCTGCTAATTCTCAATCTCTTTAATGAAATTAAAAGGGAAGCAATACTCTCAAATTCACTCCTGGAAGCAAGCATTACTCTGATACCAAAACCGAGAAGGATACAATCAAAAAGAGAACTACAGGCCCATCTCCCTAATGAACACAGGTGCAAAAATCCTCCATAATATAATGGCAAGCAGAATGCAGCAAATCATCAAGATTATACACCATGACCAAGAAGGATTCATCCCAGGGATAAAAGGAAGATTTAACATACAGAAATCAATAAATGTAACACAACATATTCACAGCCGAGGACAAAAACCATGTGATCATCTCAATAGATCCAGAAAAAGCTTTTGAAAAAGTCCAACACCCATTCATGCTTAAAAACAGTACAGAACATTGGATTAGATGGTCTTTAACTCAATCTGATAAAATCCACCTATGACAACCCAACAGCCAACATCACACTAAATGGAAAAAAACCAAAAGCCTTCACTCTAATATCAGCAACAAGAATGTTCACTGTCACCACTCTTATTCAAGATAGTTCTGGAAACTTTAGCCACAGCAATTACCCAAGACAAAGAAATAAAATGATTAATCATAGGAAAGGAACAAATTAAATTGTCATTATTTATAGATGACATGATACTCTATATAGAACACCCCAAAAACTCCACCAAAACACTTCTAGCTTTAATAAGGAAATTCAGTAGTGTAGCTTGATACAAAGTCAACATTCAAAAATCAATAGCCTTCTGTACATGAATAACAAACTCACTGAGAGAGAAATTAGAGAAAAAACACCTTTCACAGTAGCATCCAAAACAATGAAATACCTACAAATCAATCTAACAAAGGAAGTAAAAGACCTCTACATTGAAAACTATAGTACTGTGAAAAAGAAGATTGAAGAGGATATCAGAAAATGGAAAGATATCCCTTGCTTTTGGATAGGAAGGACCAATATAGTGAAAATGGCCATACTTCCAAAATTGTTACACAGATTTAATGCAATCCTAATCAAAATCCCAACAGTATATCTCACAGAATTAGAGAAAACAATCCTAAAATTCATTTGGAGCCAGAAGAGACCTAGAACTAGCAAGAGCAGTTCTGGGTAACAAAGGCAAGGCAGGGGGCATCACAATCCCTGACTTGAAATTATACTGCAAAGCTACTGTGATAAAAACAGCATGGTGCTGGCAAAGAAACAGACCCGAAGATCAGTGGAACACATTAGAAGATACAGAAACAACTCCTGACACACTCAGTCACCTTTTTTAAAAATTTTATTTTAAAGAGAGTAATAACAAAGAGCAATAGCAAAATACCAACACCATAGACAAAAACAAAACTAAGCAAAAACAATAAAAATAATACAGGGCTTCAGAACAAAATGATAGGAATTAACAGTGGCTGTTACATTATGTATTGTTATCTTCAGTGAAGCTGCTCAGATTACCAGATGTAAGAATGCAAGATTGATCAAACCATTAAAGAGAATAAAAAATAAAAACAAAAGAAAAAAACATTAGAAATGATACAGAGTTCAGCCAAGTTATCTTTGACAAAGGGGCCAAACACCTTTACTGAAAGACAGTCTCTTTAATAAGTGGTGCTGGAAAAACTGGCTTTCCATATGCCTAACATTAAAGCTAGACCCATATCTTTCACTATGCACTAAACTAAAATTGAAATGGATCAAAGATCTGAATATTACATCAGAAACATTAAATCTGCTGGAAGATAGAATAGATAGAACTCCTGAAGACACTGGTATAGGCTAAAACTTTATGGACAAAACCCCAATAGCACAGGAAATATCACAAAATCAACAATTGAGATCTCATCTTATTAAAAAACTTTTGAACAGCAAGAGAAATCACCAATAGAGTGAAGAGACAATCCACAATGTAAAAAAAATTTTGCCAACTGTTCCTCAAGGGACTACCATCTAGAATATATAAAGCACTCAAAACAATCAGACACCCCCCCCATCCAAAAATGGGCATCTGAGATGAATACACACTTCTCAGATGAAGAAATACAAACAGCAAATAAATATATGAAAAAATGTTCTGCATCACTGGTCATTTGAGAGATGCAAATCTAAATACTGAGACTCCATCTCGCCCCAGAAAGAATGGCTATTATCAAGAAATTAACCAATAACAAATGCTGGCAGGGCTGTGGAGAAAAAGGAACCCTTCTCCACTGCTGGGAGTGTAAACAGGTACAACCACTGTGGAAATAAGTGTGGAGATTCCAAAAAAAACTAAAACTAGAAGTTGCACTTGACCAAGGTATTCCCTTCTTGGTATCTTCCTAAATGTATTAAAAGCATCATACCACAGTGATATGTTTACACCCATGTTTACAGCAACATACTTTATAATAGCTAAATCTTGGAAACAGCCCAAATGCCCACTGACCAATGAATGGATAAAGATGTGTTTTTTTATATAATGGAGCACTACTCAGCCATAAAGAAGGACAAGCTTGAGACACTTGTAGCTAAATGGATGCACCTTGAGACCATACTCTTGTTTTTTTTCCGGTACCAGGAATCGAACTCATGATATCGTGCTTGCCAGGCAGGCACTGTGCCGCTGAGCTAAACCCCCAGCCCTCGAGACCATACTCTTAAGTGAAATAAATTGGGCACACATGCTTAAATACTGCATTGCTTCTCTGGTGTGAGAAACTGAATGTGCGAATAAGGACCAAAATGTATAACAGATATTTTGAAATAGGAAGAAAATGTTCAAATGGAAAGGGGATGTAGGGAGGGGGCAGTGGGGAGGGGGAAAGGAAAAGGAAAAAATGAAAACAAAGCTTCCATAAATGAAGGGAAGGGGGGTTGAAGAGAGAGGAGTGGAACAGGAAAAAAAAAAAAGAATCAAGTTACCAGGTACAAACTCCCTATGATGAATATTACCATGTATATGTAAAATGTACCAAAAAAACACCTTGCCATTCACTTGTAAAAAAAAGACATGCACAAAGTTTTAATTGTCAGGTATGTCTCCAAAGAAGATACACCACTGGCCAAGAGCCAGGTAAAAAGATGTATAATCCCAGTAAGATTTCACTTCGCACCCTCAAAGACGCCTAATATGGCAAAGACAAACAATGACAAGTGCTGATGAGGATGTGGAGAAATCACAGAGCCTCCACAGAGCCTGCTGGTAGCAATAAGGGAGCCCTGCCCACTGCAGAAAACCATCTGACTGTTACTCAAAGGATTACATATAGGTTACCAGAGGATGCAGAAATCCCACTCCTAGGTACTCACTCCAGAGAAACAAAAATATCTCTTCACACAAAACACATGTCCGCAAGTGAATGTTCATAACAGCATTATTTATAATAACCAAAATCAGGAGAGATTTCAAATGTCTATCAGCTGATGAATCAGTAAGTAAAATGCAAGCTATTCACATAACGGAGTATTATTTGACAATAAAACAAAGAAATACAGATACATGCTACAAAAGATGAATGAACCTTGAAAACATGCTAGTGACAGAAGTAGCTCACCAAAGACCACACACACAAAGAAAGAAAGAAAGAAGTTCTCAAAGGAGGCAAATCTGTAAGACAAAAAAGTAGTGGCTGACTAGGGCTGCTGGGGACAGAGGGTTTCTTTCTGGACTGAAGAAAATGTTCTAAATTAATTGTGTAGATGATGACACATCTTTGTGTATATACAAAAACAAATATTTTTAGGGTTTATTTGTTTTGTTCTGTTTGTTGAGATAGGGTCTCACTATGTAGTTCAGGCTGGACTAAAACTCATTATGTAGTCCTGTTGGTCTTCAACTTGTGATGATCCTCCTTCCTCAACCTCCTGAGTACTGAGATTACAAGTGTGTGCCACCACTCCTAGCTAACTAAAAACCATTTAACTGTACACTCTAAAGAAGTGAACTGTATAAAATGCAAATTGTATCTCAATAAAGCTAGTAAGTGTTAAAAAGTACTTGATGAGCTGGATATGATATTGTGCACCAGTAGTCCCACCTACTTGGGAGCTGAGGCAGAAAGATCATATGTTTAAGGACAATCTGGGTAATATAGCAAGCCCTAGTCTCAAAAAAAAAGTTGGATGAATTCCTCTCTTCTTCTTTCCTGCTCTTGTGAACATTACCTATATTTTTTGTTTTTTATTTTTCTACTCATACACAGTACTGAACTACAAATTTGGAATGGCTCAAAATTTGGAATGATAGTGTGTCTACAAAGGGGAAACCATCAACTACCTCTGGGAGCTTTTGTTTGTTTCAGGCACAGACAGAAGGTGGGTGGTCATGCGGTCACAAAGCTGCAGGTTTGCCAGGCTGGAAGCAGCCATGGGATGCTAAGGAACAAATGAAACCCTAGATGCAACACTTTCTTCCCCTGTTCTTATGTTTCCATGAGCTCAAAGGCAGAGGCAAAGGTGTCAGCTGAGTGAACAGCTGAGTTCAGCATCAACCACCATGGAAGCATGAGCCACCACCTGAGATTGTCTGTTCCTGTGTCACTGGATGCTTTGTATAGCATCTAGCTGTGATCCCATTTTACAGATGAAAAAACCAGAAGCCCAGCTGGTAGTGACCTGCCCAAGGTCACAGAGCCAGCAAGTTGACCTGTGGGGCCAGGACAGGCACCAAGTCACCCAATGATACCAAAGCCTGGGCTCCACCCCCTACTCCCTACCTCATCCAACACCCAAAACACTGAGGAGGAGCAGGTCCAAAGCCTGGCATGCTTGACAGTCTGGGCCTGTCGACAAATCAGGACAAAACCAGTCACTTTGTTCTGTGTCTGCAAAAAACCAAACAAGAAAATGGGAGGACATCTAGCACAGAGGCCCATGCTCAAGCTCTTCCTTATCAACAGCCTGCACTCTGGGTGCTGAGTTCCTGGATCACAGCACAGCCAGCAAAGCACGGGCCAGTGTTAACGCTCTGTGGAGAGCTGAGCCCTGGATGTGTCCATGGCATCTCATCGTTACCAAGAGCCAAGCCATGTCCAGGTTCCTAGGACAATCACAGACAGGCCATGGTGCAGGGCACAGGGCACAGGGAACTGCATCACACACACCCACGCACCCACACACCCACACACATGCATGACATTTCCGGTTGGGAGGAAGCTAGTCCTTTCCAAGGAAGTGTAAGTGCCTAGACCACAAGGAGGAAAATCACTGCTTTGCCTAAAACGTCACAAAACCGAAGTGCAGGGCTGAAAACATCACCTCTCAGATGACTTCCTCTGACTCAGCTCAGAGGTAAGAGGCACCAGCAAAGGGCTACTGGATCTTAAGTGTCCACGAACACCCTGAAGCGGCCTCTGAAAGGGTCTATTCAAATTGGCGCATGCCTTAAAACTCTCCCAGGCCTCTCTTTGGGAATGTTTATCCAAGGGAAGCCAGATGACTTTTTTCCAGAGTTAAAAAAAAAAAAGTATTTTAGCCAATTTGGGGAATCTTGGGATAACTGACTAAGTAGGAACTCAAAGTTCCAAAAAGAATCCTAATCTCTTGAACAAGACTCTATTCTTGACTTCTTGGGGTTTTTTGTTCTGTTTGGTTTTTTAACCCTCCTCCCTGAGCTGGCTGGTTCCATCTGACAGTGACTCAGGTTTTCTAGGATCTACTGACATGCAAGTGAAAATACTCCAAAATTTCTGGTAGGACCTAACCTCGACCCTAGTGAGGGGCTACAATGAGACTGTACCTTAGCAAAACGGTAAGCCCCTCCACCAGAAAGCCAAGCAGCCACAGGACACGATCACAAGTGCCTCCCAACCGAGTCCACTGAGCAAGTCTGTGCTGATCCCAAAAACTAGGACAAGGCCTCAAGGGCAGACAAGTGAGTATGCAACTAGACCGGAATTCTAAGGCCTGGGAAGTCAGCAGAAACAATCAGGAACTAGGAAGGGTATCACAGGAAGACAACTACCCAGCCCATTTCTCCCCTACAACCAAATCTACACTGAATCGGAAGAGGCAGCTAGACTCTCAACATGTGGGATCTAGACACCCCAAAATTCTAAATCTAATGAAGATATTCTGAATGTCTTTTTCTTTCTTTTTTTTTTTTTTTTTTTTTGAGACAGGGTCTTGCTAAGCATTCTTCTTAATAACCCCCCTGCTTTAGGCTCTCGGAACACTGGCATTACAGGCATGCGCATGCAGCACCACATCCAGCCTGCCCCTGCCTATCTTCATGACTTGAAGGGATCTCAGCCTCTGGCTCCCAAAACTCAAATGGTTTGTTGTAGAGAACAGGCAACCCAAGAAGGTCTCCACTCAACCTGGGTGGATGCCAGCTCTGCTTGCACCGTGAGCCTGGTCTGGGCCCGGTGTTCATCAGTTATGCTGCAGAGCACCAGCCCTGAGCCCAACCAGACCAGGACCCTAGGACCCTTCCCACATACACCTGAATCCACCCACTCTGTCACACAAAGGTCCCAAGCCACCATCTCACCATGAGATGTTTGGAGAGGCTGGGTAGTGTGGCCACAGGTCCCCTAAAGGGAGTCACAACGGTGGGGTGCAAGACCCTAGCCTGCAAGGACAACAGCCAGGTAGAAACATCTGCCACTCCCCAACAGCAGCTAGACCCCACTTACCACGGACAGGCCTCATCAGTAAAGCAGGGAAAGATATCACAGGACGCCCAAGGGGTTTACGTGACAGCTCAGTGAGGCACCAGGGAAAGCACATGGCTCACAGAAAAACTTCAGCTGTGCTCAGAGGTCAGCAATGAAGGAAGCCTCTGCTATCCACTGTTATCTCCCAGAAGTCTCTCACTATGCTCAGCTGCACTCTAAACCTCCAGGCTCCAGGAGGTCCTTTCCTATCCCACCAGGCCATGCACTGAGCCCAACCCTGCTCCTGCCCCTTAGTCTTCAAATCCCCTCAGTTCCTGCCCGAGGACTCAGCCCCACCCATCTCTGCTAAGAGGAGAGATAAGAAACCCCGTTTCCACTCCCTCCTGTGTGCACAACACTAGCAGTAAGCAAATTATATATGTATATATATTCAAGAGGCTGGCCTTGAATTCAGTTAAATAGCTCAGGCTGGCTTCAAACTCAGAGATCTCCCTACCATACAGCCTCCTAAATGCTGGAATTACAGGTGTGGCCACCACACCCAGCTACACTGAAAGCCAGACCTACCCGGCTAGGTGTGGACTGTGCTAGGAGTCCAGAGGTGAAGGTGCTGAAAATAATTAGTTGTCCAAGGTCAGAGCCCACCCAAGCCTGATGTGCTGAAAGGGAGGCTCCCAACAGCTGGGGCTGCAACATCCCTGCTGTTTCTCAAATGTGCCAGCTCCAAGGGGCTGGGGCCTTGGTGTGCACCAAGGGGCCACTCCAACAGGTGGACTCACCAGTGAGCTCCCCAGAGACCTCAGAAGCCTGAGGGGCAGTGCTGCTGATGATGATTAACTGTGGTGTTCTCCTGTAAGAGGGGAGCAGATGTAATCACATACCCCCCTAAAGATGTCTCTCCCTCCACTCTAGGTTGCAAATGAATTTGAAAGGAGTCCAGATATCCTTGTAAAGCTATTTTAAAACAAGATCCCATTGTTCTAGCACTCTGGGAGAGTGATGCAGGAGGATCACAAGTTTGAGCCCAGTCTGGACAATTTAGTGACTCAGGGAGATCCTGTCTCAAAACAAAAAATAAAAACAAAGTGGGGGGACGATGGAAGCTGAGGCAGAAAGATCACTGTGAGTTTGAGGCCAACCTGGGAAACACAGTTTAAGGCCAGCCTGAACTACACACACAGTAAGACTGTCTCACAAGAGGGGTCGGGGTATAGCTCACTGTAAAGGTTTTAGGCTCAACCCCCAATTCCCACCTCAGAAAGAGACAGAGAGAGACAGAGAGAGTGTGAAAGGAGAAAAAAGAGAAAGGAATTGGAGTCACACAGTAAGTCTCAGACTTATATAACACTGGAGAACAGAACAGCTCTCAGATCAACCAAGGACAACCCTCTAACTCCAAAAGCCTAAAGATTTTATTTACTAAAAAAATCACTACTGACAACAGGGTCACCTCTAGGGTGTAGTTTGGTGGGATGAGGCAGGGCAGAGAGGGGTAAAGTTGAGAGAAATTTTTTTTTCTTTTTTCTTTTTTTTTCCTTTTTGGTACTGAGGATTAAATCCAGGACTTTCATACTGGACTTTTTTTTTTTGAGACAGGCTTTCACTAAGTCATTAAATTGCCCAGACTGGGCTCAAACTTGCCATCTTCCTGCCTCAATCTCCCACAATGCTGGGATTATAGTACAGGCATACAAAGTTTTGTCTTTTGTACCAAAAGAACAAGCATAAGGACAATATCTATATGGTTTCTGTTGAAAGAACTATTTCTGGAAAACATGTCAAGACCATCTCTAACTCCCATTTTATGAAACAAACACTTCAGAAGCACAAATATTCCATTCCGTGCTATAAGATTATGCTGATAATATTTAAGCTCAACAATTATTTAGTGGTGCAGAAAAATATGAATTGGAAAGAAACATGCTTTAAAAATGTATATCTAGTACACAAGATGGGAGCTAACATAAAAAGCACTCACACAGGAAAGAAGGAACGCCTAGGGAAACTCAGCAGTGTTAAAGGGCAGAAATGGGTGAGGCGTCTTCACAAAATGTACTTGTGGTCACACCACTTACATAACAACATTTGCTCAAAGCGCCAATTCACAAACAGCAGTAAAATCTCACTGGCTCTAATTACACCTCATTCATAAGACTCCAAGTAGACAACACTTTACCAGCACAGATCAGGATTTGGAAGACTGCTGGAAATTAATGCAGTCATGCTTCTTCAGTTGGAAAATAACGTGACTGCACTTTTTCAGACACATCACCCCACCTCAACTTTCTCCAGTCTGCGTGGAGTATCCCTGGAGTTCATCACACTTGATGTCACTTCACTTTAAATCTGCACAGCATGCTTGCTCCACAAATCTTAGGGAGCTAGAGGTGTCCCCTCCCCCAACAACTAACACACAGAACCAAAACAGCACAAAGCCTTCCCTCAGCCTGTCAGCTGGAAATAGTATGAAGTGAGGACCCGATTCTCCTACAGCTAATCCCAACATGGTTTTTTGTTTTTCGTGTGAGTGGTTTGTTTTTTTTTTTTTTGGAGGTGGGTTACTGGGGAATGAACCCAAGGTCTTCGCATTGAGCTACATTCCTAGCCCCTTTTTCATTTTTTGAATCAGGGTCTCTCTAAATCACGGAATTGCCCAGCCTGGACTTGAATTTGTAGTCTTCTTGCCTCACCCTTCCAAAGTGTTGGGATTACAGGTATGCACCACCACACCCAGCAGTATGCTTTCTTTATAGAATCACAAACAATCATAACCTATAAAGCTAAGAAAGCCGGTGTGGTGGTGCATGCCTGTAATCCCAGCAATCAGGAAGCTGAGGCAGGAGGATTGTTGCAAGTTTGAGACCAGCATGGGCTACAAAGTGAGCTCAAGGCCAGCCTGAACTGCATAGGGAGACCCTGTCTCAAAAGGACAAAAAAAAAAAAAAAAAGTTAAGAAAGATAGCTTTCTTACCTTTATTTTTTTCACGCTGAGCAAAATCCTCAGCCCTTTTTTAACATTTTAGTTGGAGACAGGGTCTTGCTAAATCACTCAGGCTGGGCTCAAACTTTTGATCCTCCTGTCTCTCTGTCTCTCAAGAATGCTGGGGTTATAGGCATGTGTCCCCACTCTCAGCTTCCTACACAGTACTTTAATACTATTTGCCACAAAATACCTATCTTTGCTAGGTGTGGTATTATACACCTAT